CACTAAATAATGGCGAAAACCGGATGTTTAGTACTATTATAGTTTTTGTTTTGGCACGTCGCCATTATTTCTTTTTTTCGCAAATAACTTTTGATTTTTAAATTCGGCTACAAAACTGATTAAAGCACTAACCTCTACTAACTAAGCACTAAAGAATGATATAAGTTTTATCGTTAGTGCTTTCATAATTTTCCAGCTGAAATTTGACCTCTAAAAATTTCTTTAGCATTTTACAATTTTTCCATATGACAGTTAAGTAAATTAATAACGGAATTTAAATACACTAATTAAGCACTAAATAATGGCGAAAACCGGATGTTTAGTACTCCTATAGTTTTTGTTTTGGCACGTCGCCATATTTTTGTTTTTTCATGAATAACTTTTTATTCTTAAATTCGGCTACAAAACTGATTAAAGCACTAACCTCTACTAACGAAGCACTAAAGAATGATATAAGTTTCATCGTTAGTGCTTTCATAATTTTCCAGCCGAAATTTGACCTCTAAAAATTTCTTTAGTGTGTTACAATTTTTTCATATGACGGTTAAAAAAATAAATTACGGAATTTAAATACACTAATTAAGCACTAAATAATGGCGAAAACCGGATGTTTTGTACTATTATAGTTTTTGTTTTGGCAATTCGCCAATATTTGTTTATTTTTGTTTTTTTCGCGCATAACTTTTTTTCCTTAAATTCGGCTACTATCCGGATTAAAGCACTAACCTCTACAAACGAAGCACTAAAGAATGATATACATTTCATCGTTAGTGCTTCCAAAAGTTCGGCCAACTTCACGCTTAAATCGTGACGTCATAATTTTTATATACCTAATATCTTTTTTTTTATAAGGCGGTTAACCATAAAAATTACGGAATTAAAATTTACTAATTAAGCACTAAATAATGGCGAAAACCGGATGTTTTGTACTATTATAGTTTTTGTTTTGGCAAGTCGCCAATATTTGTTTATTTTTATTTTTTTCGCGAATAACTTTTTTCCCTTATATTCGGCTACTATCCAGATTGAAGCACTAACCTCTACTTACGAAGCACTAAAGAATGATATATATTTCATCGTTAGTGCTTCCAATCGACTTTTAAGCTTGAAGTTGGCACAAATTTTTATTTTTGCTTATAACTTTTTTTCCTTAAATTAGGCTATTAAACGGATTGAAGCACTAACAAGCACTAACGAAGCACTAAAAAATGATATATAATTCATCGTTAGTGCTTCCAATTGTTCGGCCAACTTCACGGACCTCATTTTTCGGTATTTATAAAAATTTATTTTTTTAAAATAATAAAAAAAATTTTTTTAATGTTGTTAATTTTTATAAATTTACTAACCCAAACGATTATAGCCTTTTATATTAATATATTTTTTAGTGTCAGAATATAATTTTATGGAAAGCATAAGAGTGCACAGGAACCTCTGGTGCAAAAATGACTTAAAATTCAGAGATTCTGTAGAAAATAAGAAAATTTGTGAGGAAACTGGAAAAACATATAATCTGAATTATGATCAAGTGGAGAATAAATTTTTAGCTGTAAAGGCTAAATTTAATAAATTATATTCTCTCACCCAACAAAAATCTGGTAAAAATTTTTTATATTATATTATAATTAAATGGTGCATGGGCAAACAACTAATATTCTGAGTCAAGTTTTAAATTGACACAAACAAATGTAAAATAATAACAAATATATAAAAAAGTTTTTTATTTATAAAATTATATAAGCCTACACAATACCTTAATGAAATTGAAAACCCACTTGCTGATCAAAATATTGAAATTGCTTCATTTGAGGATACTATAATTTTTGTATTTTATATTCTATTATTTGATAATTATTATTGAATAATAGCTAGATCAAGATATTGCTGAAGAAAATGAAAACCCAATAAATATTAATAAAAATATTCCTATTCCATCTATTAAAAGAAAAAAATTAAAAATTATTGAATCTGAAAGAACAGAAATATTAAAAGGTAAAACAATTTATATATTTTAAATTCGAACAAACTGGAGAAGATCTGTTAAATAATAGTGATTATACCTTTCGGTCAAAATTTTATATTAATATATTTTTATATATCGTTTTAATATGACATTTTTTTTATTCACTTTGTATTTAAATTTAATCGGTGAAAATTTTATATTAACATTTTTTTATATATCATTTTAACGTTACATTTTTTTAAATATCAATTTGAATTTGACACAATTAGTTATTTTTTTTATTGTTGAAAAAAAGATATATAAAGAAAAATTGTTTTAAGATCTATTCAACCCCATAATGGGCGGTCTGGAGGCATAGGGGGGGGGGGGGGGGGGGGGGGTGTAAAAAATAATTTTTTTGATATGGGTATCAATCGATAGCTAATCAAAAGATCTATTCAACTGGAGGTGAATCTCTGCCCCATAATGGGCGGTCTAGAAGGGTAGGGGTGGGGGGGGGTGTAAAAAATAATTATTTTTGATATGGGTATCAATCGATAGCTAATCAAAAGATCTATTCAACTGAAGGTCAATTTCTACCCCATAATAGGTGGTCTGGGGGGGGGGTGTAAAAAATAATTTTTTTTGATATGGGTATCAATCGATAGCCAATATAAAGATCTATTCAACTAGAGGTCAATCTCTGCCCCATAATGGGTTGTCTGGGGGGGGGGGGGGGGTGTAAAATTTTTTTTTTGATATGGTTATCAATCGATAGCTAATCAAAAGATCTAATCAACTGGAAGTCAATCTCTGCCCCATAATAAGCGGTCTAGAAGGGTAGGGGTGGGGGGGGGGGGTAGGGGGGTGTAAATAATAATTTTTTTGATATAGGTATCAATCGATAGTTAATCAAAAGATTTATTCAACTGGAGGTCAATCTCTGCCCCATAATGGGCGGTCTGGAAAAGGGTGGGAGTGGGAGGGGGGGGGGGTAAAAAATATTTTTTTTTGATATGGGTATCAATCGATAGCTAATCAAAAGATCTACAACTGGAGGTGAATCTCTGCCCCATAATGGGCGGTCTAGAAGGGTAGGGGGGGGGTGTAAAAAATAATTATTTTGATATGGGTATCAATCGATAGCTAATCAAAAGATCTATTCAACTGGAGGTCAATTTCTGTTCCATAATGGGCGATCTAGGGGTGTGGGAGTGGGGGGAGGGTGTAAAAAATAAATTTTTTGATATGGGTATCAATCGATAGCTAATCAAAAAATCTATTCAACTGGAGGTCAATGTTTGCCCCATAATAGGCGGTCTAGGAAGTGGGGGTGGGGGGGGTGTAAAATTTTTTTTTTGATATGGGTATCAAATAAAAGCTAATTTATTATGGTTTGACTGAAAGTCTTCATTCTTGGTCTTGATAGGTATGACTTGTTGTGGGGTGTTGGGGTAAGGGTGGGGTGTGCGGGTAGGAGTGGGGTGTAAAAAAAATATTTTTTTGATATGGGTATTAAATAAAAGCTAATTTTAATATGGTTTGACTGAAATTCTTTATTCTTGGTCTTGATGGGTATGACTTGGTCTGGAGTGTAGTGGGGGAGGGGTGTAAAAAATAATTTTTTTGATATGGGTATTAAATAAAAGGTAACTTAAATGTTTTTTTTATTGTAATAATAATATTCACTATAAAGGGCGGGTCTAGGTCTTGGAGGGTGACGAATATTTTTATCAACATAAAATATAGATGTGGGTATCAAATAAAAGCTCATTTAAATATCTTTAGATAGAAATATTTATTTTTTGTACTGATGGGTATGACTGCCAGCTCTCAACATATTAACAAAATGTCTAGTTGGATAGAATTTACAGAAATAAATGAGAATGAAGATAAAACAATTTTTAAAATCTCTTTTCGGTTCCAATCCTGAACTTGAAATATATAATTTGCAGTGTTATATTCACGATATTCCATAGCTATTTATTTAGTATCGATATTAGTATGCAACATTTTTTTTTAAAAGAGAGATTACTGTAGCTCGTTACTAAATAAATAGCAAAAATTATTATAATTTTTTAATTAATTCTAAAATCATTATCTTTTAATTTAATTTTATTTTAAAATTTACATTTATAAATATGCATTGTAAATATATTTTTCAAAAAAATAAAATTTTTTAAATGTCGACAGTATAGAATGATAATGAAAATAATTTTGGTACAGATCATATCTACAAAGGAATATCCCTTGAAAATGATGATGATATAAGATTTCCTTTTCCTTAATTCACAAATTATTTTAATCTCGATAAAAAAAATTAACACAGGATAAATTTTGCTGTAATATGTGGCCGAGGTTTTATCATCAAAAGTTGTTTCAACTTGAGAAAACATTTAAAGGTAATATATCAAACAAAAATATATCTTTAATGTTTTTGAGTTAGATGAGTTTATGTGATTTTATGGCCTAGTCTAAACAAGCTATATTTCAACTGGTCATAAGATAGTGCGCTACATTTATGAAAATATAGCGATAACGCGCCTTTTTATTTTTATAAAATAGCGGTAAAGCACGTTATTTTTAAAAGTAGCTTTTAACAACATTATAAAATGCTTCCTTTCTTCTTAATCTCCCTCTTTCTCCTTCTCAATTTTAAAATATTTAATTTTCAATAATGTTAATGTCATAATTTATTTCCATTTTATTTCATTTAATATAATGTTCATTATATAGTAAGATTTATTTTTTAGGAAATGATTAATGATAAAAATACTACAAACAAAAATTTCTTTCAATTTAAAAAAATTTTTATAAAAGGAAATAAAAAAGTTAAGATTTAGAATTTTTTTTCTAGTTAATACTTAATTTCAAATTTCTTTTTTATATATTTATAATTCAAAATATTAATATTTTTAATAATGCCCCAATTAGTTACCTAAAAATCTTACTGAATATAATATTTTTAAACAAATTCTCATGACGAAAAATTATACAAATATTGATGGAATAGATGCCAAACTAAAATCTAAAATTAAAGAACTTTTAAAAAATAATACTATAATGTGTTCGAAGAAAAACAAGCCAATTATTATATTGTCCGAATTGGGTGAAATATTTAAGACACATCACAATGATAAGAATCATACAGGTAAATGTTTATTGAATTACTTTTTATTTGTATTCGAATAATTTGATTGATTAAATAAATATTCACTAGTATATTATTAGCATAGTTGAAAAATATTAGAATATTATTTTATTTTCATATTGTAGTTTATTTGATGTTAGTTAAACCCGACCCAACCCATCAAATTGTGATTATTTTATTTCGGTTTGTCTGAAATTTATTTTTCCATATGGGTTTTTCATCGAATTTAAATTTAATAAATGATATCAATTAGTGATCTGCTTCGGGATTAATATTTTAAGCATGATTCACTTTTTTTAAAATTTGTTAGGCTCTGCCCTATCCCCAATTTTTTCATATATTTGTCTAGAAACGCAACCCCATATAAAAATTATTAGCCCGCCCGGCTTGGTCCGAATTTATTTAAATATAGAAAAAATTAATAATTTTTTAATTGTAAAAAATAAATTTACAAATATAAATATTACGTCCTATTTCTTGCAAGTTTTAAAATATATTAATTTATTTAATAAAATTGAATAATAATAGCCCGACCCAGGCAGAATTATTTTTAAAAATATTAGGCCCTACCCAGCCAGAAAGTGCAAGAGGACCATAAATCATGGATATTATTTTAATGTTAGATAATTTTGCAATTTTCATTTTTGATTATTTTACAATATTTTTTTTAAGATTATTATAAAATAATTTATCATTTTCTAATAATATACAAAAAAATAAATAAATTTTAAGTAAATCTATTTTATATTTCTAATTTGATTTGGATTTTGTCAATTATGTTGTGGTTAGGAATTTAAGGGAAAAAATTGGTTGCGTCGTATTGGACACCTAAAGTGTATCCTGGTTCGATTTATTGGTAAACAGCAGGCTTTTTGGACTGCTATAATAGCTTCGTTTAAACAGTTTAGTAAGATTTATACAAAAAAACTAAAGAAACAAATCGAAAAACACAAGAAAAATAAGAAAAATTACAATGCCATCAAACACTATGTGTTCTTATTGGCATGTAAAATATAAAATATTAGTTTATGCTTTAATATAAAAAAAATATTTATATTATGTGTTCGGTCCGAACGGGCTTCAGGCCGGGCCTATTATTTTTTAAGAAAAACTAGTAATCTTTTTTCCTAAATATTTAGGAGTGAACACAACTATCAAATCGATTGAAACAATATATGCAACTGTCCCAGTGAATAAGCTCAAAGATTATATAAAAAATTGCTAGGTATTTGGAAATATAATATTATGGAAAGATAATTATACTATAAACTCGATTGGCAACAGCATCGAAAATATTTTAACCAGACTACCTTCGTTCATTTCATATTTAATAGATAAGAAGAAGCAAGAGAATGCTTATAAGAATATAATTAAAAAGATAAAATTTTGCATTGGGGATCACGTACTGATCCCAATAAATAAAAATGATAGATCTAATCTATGCCCCAAAAATATTGAGACCGAAATTATACAAATGGAGGGCGAGAAATTATGGGTTGGAACTAATTTGGGAAAAATTGATTCCCCATTTTTAAAAACGAACATTCATAAATCAATAAAATTTACCAATTTTACCATTCCTAATAGAAGATCTCCATAATAACAGCATCAAGAATAACATCTTCTTATGGTAGTTTAAATCAATTTGCAATTGCCAAAAAAGTTGCAACAATAAGGTCAATGTTTTAAAAATGACATTAATTGTTCCACAAAATGTCACTTAAATATTATTTGTGTAAATAATAAATAATTTCATATATTTTAAATTAATTATCGAAATCAATAAAATATGTTGTTGATTATATGGCTTGAAAAAAAATATTATAATATAGATGATTTGCTTATAAAGAAGTGCAATAATTTATAACTGCAATAAGAAAAATTTATAATGTCATTTTAAAATTTGTGAATCGATGGTCTCAAATATAGCCGTTGAGATTTAAAAATATTACAAATTAGTAAGTTGCTAGCCAATAATTTTATCACTAGGCTACAATGCGTTTATAAATAGCAGTGACTATATTTAAACCTCTGCTTATAATTGTATTTAATAATGAAGTCTACCCATAAAAATTCACTATCTTATGGCCGGTTGAAATATAGTATGTTTAGACTAAGCCAGAAAATCAACTTTCACTTAAACTCATCTAACTCAAAAACTATTATAGATGCTCTAATTTTTTTTAAAGATTAAGAATTGAGCTATACATTGATATTAATTTTTGGTTGATATATTACCATGTTTTCTCAAGTTGAAGCAACTAGTTTAGTTTGATGATAAAACCATGGCCACATCTTACAGCAAAATTTATATAATGTGTTAATTTTTTTTATCGAGATTAAAATAATTTGTGAATTAAGGAAAAGGAAATTTAATATCATCATCATTTTCAAGGGATATTCCTTTGTCGATATGATCTGTACCAAAATTATTTTCATTATCATTCTATACTGTAGACATTTAAAAAATTTAATTTATTGAAAAATATATTTTGCATATTTTTAAATGTAAATTTAAATTTTAAAATAAAATAAAATTAAAAGATTATGATTTTAGAATTAATTAAAAAATTATTATAATAATTTTTGCTATTTATTTAGTAACGATCTACCGTTATCTCTCTTTTTAAAAAAATGTTGCACGCTAAAGATATCGATACTAAAAAAATAGCTATGGAATATCGTGCTAATATAGAACACTGCATATTATATATTTCAAGTCCGGGATTGGAACTGAAAAAAGATTTAAAAAATTGTTTTATCTTCATTCACTTTTATTTCTATAAATTCTATCCAACTAGACATTTTGTTAATATGTTGACCCCCCCCAGACCAAGTCATACCCATCAAGACCAAGAATGAAGACTTTCAGTCAAACCATATTAAAATTACCTTTTATTTGATACCCATATCCAAAAAATTATTTTTACACCCCCCCCCCCCTACCCTTACCCCCTAGACCACCTATCATGGGGCAGACATTGACTTACAGTAAATCTTTTGATTAGCTATCGATTGATATTTATATCAAAAAAAATTATTTTTTACACCCCCCCCCCCCCCAATAATAATAATAATATTTTAATATAATTAAAGATAAAATTAGATATAGGCATGGAATTTGATGAGAAAGTTATGCCAAGTCTGATCTTGGTAGCAAGATCCATATATAAAGGTATATTGGATAAAGAAAGAGTTGTAGTTCAACAAAATTTATTTAATGAAATACATGTTTAAACTAATTTTATTTATTTTTGGATGATGAAGAAGGAAGATTAATTATGAATGCAAGAGATATAAATAATGTAGACAAAAAAAGGAAATAGAGAAATTAATTTATATACAAGATATTTTATTTAAAAAAAATAGAATCTATAGTAGAATTGATTCTGGAGATAAGATAGTAATAATTAATTTTTTCAATATAATTAAAAATAAAATTAGATATAGGCATAGATTTGATGAGGATGCTATGGCAATTCTGAATGTTGGTGGCAACAATCTATATAAATGTATATTGGATAATGAAAGAGTTGGTTCAACAAAGTACATTTAATAAAATACACTTTTAAACTAATCTTATTTATACTTTTGAATAGAAGAATGTAAATTTTGAATGTTAGAGATATAAAAAATGGTTACAGAGAGTTATAGTTGCTTGATCTTTTGTCAATTTGATTTTGCTAAAATTTATATTGCCTTGTGTGATTTTTTAGTCATTTTTAATTGAGTCAATATAGGAATAAATAAACATATTTTATTTTTGTAATTCTTTAGTTGTAAAATTTTTTTACATCCGCAAATCCCAAATATTTAATACTGTAGTAAGGAATTGTATGAAAAAAATGGATATTTTTTTAACCTTTGCAATTATTTACATGCAAAATTTTTTCATATGCGAAATCACAAATATTTAATGCTCTTTGATATTATAAATTATTATTATATATCTATTCTGAAATCGTGAATATTTATTACTATAAATAGATTATTATTTTGTATTAAAAAGATTATCCTTATCTTACCAAATGTCCTGTGTTTTACTTTAAATATTTATGTGGTAGCATTAGTATGTAGCATAATAAATAACAAAATACGAAATTTTGAATACTAGTTCTTATAAATTTTATCTAAAAAGCAAAATATATTAAAAGAAAACCCGAGCGAAGCCCGGGAAAAATAGGGAGTATGGGGGGGGGGGGGGTGAAGCTCTGTAAATTAGTTGAGCCCCCTGGGATTGTAAAGGCTAGTGACGCCCCTAAATAGGTCCTAAAAACTGCTTCAGCTCCAATTAATTATTCAACATATTCGTATTTATACAACTTTAAAAAATCTTCTTCCATTATTAGTAACACACTTTTTTAAGTAATGTTGGCCTATTTAGTAATAGCTGATTTAGATCAGTTGGTTCTAAAAATTTGAAATAAGAATAACTAAAAGATCTAACCTATTCTTTTTGTTTTGGAAGCTCAGGCTCTTATCCTTATTTTGGATTTTGGCCCCTGATATCATTTTCATCTTCATCCACCAATTAACTACATTTATTCCCCATTACAATATGGGGTACGGTTGGCGCCATTAGGTATTTCAGCTAGTGTTGTTAAAAAGCTCGATTCGGGTCGATTTATAAAAATGGTCCGATTAAAATTTTAGCCAAAATAATATTAAGGAAGTTTAGAGATTTTGCTAATAGGTGGCAGCATGGTTTGGACCTCTATTTGCAAAATCTCGAGGCTTACATATAATTATTTTGGCTAAAATCTTATTCGACTCTTTTAAAAAATCGACTAGCAGACATAAATGAATAATATTTTTTAAATTGATAATGATTTGAACAGTTATTTCTCTCCTATTACATTCCTATTTTTAACGATAAATTAAAATTTCCTTATCTCTGTGAATACTTGTTCCTGCAGTACTGTCTAGTGTGAAAGGGGCTTTAATGTATGATTTTGATCATGGTAGATAATTGAGCGAGTTTAAAGAGTAAATAATTTGTCAAATATAGTGTCATAAATATTAATGCGAATAAAAAAGTTCAGCTAGCATCAAATCATTTTCTAGGATTAAATCATATTTTAAAGATTTTGCATGAAATTAAAAATATTAAATCCTTTTTATTTCATGCCTACCCAGAATATATTCAATTACGATTATAATTTAGGATTTCAACCTAAAAATATCTTCAAAGGAACAGCGGAATATCGATTGAATGAATAGACAAATATATCGCTATAATATGTTTCGACCTGATGTTTTGGCGTTCCCAAATTTAAATATCTCATCTCTTTTATGAACGAAAATTAAATTTTTATCATCTAACCGCTCACGCTCACTATAATATAGCAAGAGGTTTGTGCGTATAGTCTGAAGAGATATCAGGATGAAGCGGATACGATATCACTTTTACTTTAAAGATTTTAAATTCAATTTTTAAGATTTTCCTTATATTTAAGGAATATTTTGTGGTTATATTTCTGCGTTCCACAAAATTAACTCTATAACGTCCTTTGCTTTTTTTATAAATTATACTTTAATTAGAAGTATTAAGCAAATATTTACTGAAAACTGGACATTTTATGAGAAATCAATAACATATATAATTAGATCCAAAACATTATTTTTTAAGGTATCAATAAATTATTTATTTATTATACAGATCCATTCTAAAAAAAATTTACCCATCCTTATAGGCTTATCGTGCGATCATTATCAATAGTTTACTCTACAGATCTAATCTCTTTAGGGTTGATCATCTAAAAATGATGAAAATTTCCCATTTATTTAACTTAAAGAGCCGACTTGTATTAATCAAACAGATATGATATAAACAATAAAATTCAAAGACTATTTCATAAACTGATCATCAAGATTAGATGATCTTAAACTGCTCTATAAATAAGTCCAAGGCTCTAGAAAGAAAAAGGGTAAAATAACGATGTACCCGATTTTATTTTTTTTATAAAATAATTTCAAAAACATAATTTTTAAAAGAGGAGATTCTGTGGTAGATTTTTGGGATTTGGAAATACTAATAATATGTTAGCTTACTTGAATGCGATAGGAGAAACCCTGTTCATACATTATTTCTTATATTAGATAGTGTTATTTTAAATGTATTTTTATACATACTTATATATTTTTAATATTGATGTAAATTGATTGGGGGAAGGATCATTTTGCTTCAAATTTCTTGAAGGGGAATCTAAGGGGGGTAGGTCAGGGGGTAGGCCATGCTCTTGGGGTGTTAATTATATTCTAGATGAATTAGGGCAAAATAGATGCAATAAAAATTTATTTAATTTTTATTATAATCTTATAATATACACATATCACTAAACATCGAGGAAATCTATATATTCCATATAATCATAGCATTATTTTCTATAAAAATTATTTCTAATTTTCTGCCATATTTATAAATATCATTTAGAAAGGTTCCAAATTTCTATCAGTAAACTCATTTTATTCCAAACCATGTACTATAATAGGATTCATCATAAATGAGGAGAATGTTTTTATTTTAATTCAATTAAAAAATAACTGTAGTAGAGTATATTGATAATTTAAGTTATTCTTTTTAAAATATATGAAGGGATTGCCATAATAATTAAAAACTTGTAAATAATAACGTTGGAGTATCAGGACCGAATGCAGCGCTAATTTTATTTTGGGGAGAGAGGGGGTATAGGATTTTGAGCAGAGTTTGCCTTCAGTAAATAATCTGTCATCTAAACGCTGGTAAAAAATTATAAAATAATAAAATTCTTAAAAAGAAAAGAAATTTTTTCTAAATTTACATCCAATCCCATTTGATTTAAGTTAAATTTATTAAACGTTGTCGTCTGGTACTCTTTATCCACTTATTAATTTTAATATTAAAATCATGTTGACTTTATTTAAATGTAACATAATATATATTATAACAATGCTATGAATAAATGTTTAAAACAAAGAGGGCATTATCTAAAATGAGCGAATAATAATTTACACTATAAAGGAATGTGCTTATCATTTTTGCAATCACAATTAAATATAGATATAAAAGGCAGTGCTAAAATATGAGGTTGACCTAAACGCCATTTTTCTAACATAATTATTATTTTTTTTATAAGATAATAAACTAACAATATCATTTCTAATTAGAGCATAGATGGAATTTTGAAAATCTGCGCTAAAATTAGACATAAAAATGAATTAAGGCTAGATCAACCAATAATAAAAAAAGACAACGACGTTATTATAAGTTTAATATTGGCATAATATGTTTAAAAAAATAAAATGCTTGACCAAAAATTTGATTAACTATAATATCGTTATAAAAAAAAGTTTTAAAATGGCTTGGAAAGATATCGATATTTATCATTTAGGATTTTCTAATTCTTTTGGTATTTTTTTTTCAATTTTCATGTTCCTTTTGGACCTAATTTCTTCTTATTTTTATCTCAAGCACACCACGCAAGGAATCTCTCTTCCGGTAGGATACTTCTGGCAATTAAGGTTTCCGCAATGCGCCTCGGTAAGCTCTAATATGGCACCTTGAGCTAAAATATTTCCGCCATTAGGATAGATATCGAGACCTTGGTCAACGCAAACGTACTCATTTCGGGAATATTTTTCGTCTGCCGCCATTAGGAAACCTTTATAAGCAATTTGAAAGTCAGATGGGCACGCAATCATTCCCGGAAACATCATATTGATGGAAAAATTTTCCGCCAAGCATACGCTGCAAGCTCTAATGTAAATTATATATATAAAAAAATTCGAAATGCCCAAATTTAATAAGTTCAAAGAAAATGATTGCAAAGATAATATGCTTAAATACGAATAGCTTATAATAGTTGGAAAATTTATTTGGTCATTTCGTAGCCAAAATTTTAAGTGTAATATCTAGGGAGATAAAAAAAAATAATTGTTTCTTCTAAATAAATTACACAAAAAAAGAAAATAATGAAGAAATTCGAATACTTTAAATCCTCAGTTAGTAATGCTCATCTATCAGGAAAAATTTTCACATTCGTCGAAAATTAGTCTAAATACATATAATTAGTGTTGCTAAACGGCTATTTTTGAGAAGATTTTTAAAAACGGCTAACTCAATGCTTCATCCAGAAAAATATTATGCAAGCCTGAAAATTTTTTTCATAAAAGGAACAAAGATCTATACATATATTGTCGAAATCTCGAGGCTTAGGCAATATTTTTCTGTCCAAAATATTGAGTTATCCGTTTTTAAAAATCGGCTCAAAACGAGCCGTTTATACATATAATTAATGAAAGAAAAGAATATTCAAAAAGATAGTTGATTTTCTTTTATTAAATTTTTAATTTATTGTATGTTTCAAAATTTTATGATTGTAAAAAATGAAAATTTTGTAATAAATTGGAATTGTATTTTATATATTTAGCGTAAATGTGTTTTTCCGACAATGTGGTATTTTTCAACTTTAAATAATTTTTTGAGCGCGTTTTTAAATTTAAAAATCTGATTTTACCTGAAATGTATTCCATCATATTTGGAATGTCTACCCTATGAATTTCAGACAATTTTGAATGAACTTTTCAACTTAATATAATTTATAATATTTACTCTATATATAAATTATAAATGACTCAAAGGCTAACGACAAAATTGTCTACAATTCATAAGATAAGTATTCTAAACATGTTGGAATACATCTCCTGTAAAATTAGATTTTTTAATTTAAAAAAAAACATGCAAAAAATTATTTAAAATTGAAAAAATACCACATTGCCGCGAACATCATGTAGATAATGTTGTTAAAGTAACTAGTTACAAGTAAATTTTTGCTAAAAAATAACTGTAACTAGTTATATTTTAAAAATTGTAACTAGTAAATGTAACTAGTTATATTTTTGAAATGTAACTGCCAAAAGTAACTAGTTACTTTAAAAAATATATTTGTATAAATTTACATAATATATTTCAGTAATTAATTTATTTTTAATATGTTTTTTTTTAAATAATAACTATTTATTAAAAATACAATATCTATATTCTATGTAAAAATATATAATTAAAAGAAGAGAAATAAAATAAAATAATGTATTTAGGTTTGGTCGGAAGGGCTTAATGACCCATGTACAGATATATATTTGGATCGACAAATTTTGACTGTATTCTTTGTCGTAGATAGAAGCCTTTTTTGGATCACCTGTGATTAAACGTAACCTTTGCCCTTTGTTTTGAATAATTTCAGGGCTTGGGTTCCAAATGATACACAGGTGTCTGAGATTACCGGAACAAACAAAAGATTATTAAGGTGGCTATATTTATTTGTTTTTGTATTTTCAGCTTTCGTGATAGAGTTGAAATAAAAAGATCTAGCAAAACGATCTACACATGTATAATTTCAAGCGAGGGGTATACCTTGGTTCCAAGGGACTAGTGTCATTCTATCTGTGCTGAAGCCAGTTCCAGTGTAGAAGGAATATTTGCGGATTTCAAGATTCTATTGATGATCGAATTGATGGCATAGTGCCTGGATAATTTGCCTTTTGAAAAACGACAGTATGGAGGGGGTGGGGTGTCTAAGTCTATCGATATGAGTTTCACAAGGGACACATAATGTCAGCGCAAAACGAAGACCTATAGCTATTCTAAGTTCTTCGTTGGTTAATAAACAAGCCCTAAATTAGAACTAGGTATAGTTTCTAACCCTTCGTAGCCAAGGTGACATATGACTGAGGCTGGAATTATTTGATCCAGCAAAAGAGTCGTATGTTGTCATTCTGTATATTCGGGATTGGCCTTAAGGTGAGAAAGAGCATGGAGATTTTTTTTGAACAGCTTTGAAGTTAAGTATTCAACTCAATGCTGTACCAAAAGTAAATTCCAGATTCCAGGCTCTTTGTCTTAAATTTGAATATGAGCGGTTTGAAGAATCTTTGCTCCAGTGGTTTAATGCTGCCATATTATGTGGATTCGCTCCTATCCAAGTATCCAAGTCTGTATGGAAATTTAGCAACTGAGGATAAAAAGGCTGAAATGCTTAAGGATTTGGGGGAATGGATACCTATAAGACCTGGTGGAAAGGCAGCTTGTATACTGAAGAGTAAAGAGAATTTAATATCTAAAATAGATTCGAGAGTATTTTTATTAAGAACCTCAAGGTCTAATAATATTTCAAGGGACATGAAATTTGTAATGGATAAAAAATATTTATATAAATAAAAAGCCTGAGCAGGTAAATGTTTTAAAATATTTTTCATTCTATTGAATTTGACAAGAAATTCATCTCTGAAATGAAATATAGCACTTTCATCTCCAATGAGTGAACCTAGGTGGATAAAGCTAGTTTTGTTCACTACAATAAAAATAAATTTAAAATTTTGTTTAAATGTCTGATTGTGTTCATAAAGGATATGCAACAATAATATAATTTCCCGTCAAAATAGATTTTCTTTTCTTAAATTTTTACATTGCTGGGTTTCATAATTTTGTAACCAAATTCAATTAATACACCTATTTTTTAATATTATATTTCTTTACCTATTTATTTGGCACAATATATTCCATATTTTTATGGAACTTCATATAAATGTCTTTTTTAAAAATTTAACTAAATTAAATCATAAAACTTAGTATAAGGAAAGACAAAGACTTAGATTATTTTAGAATTAAATAATTTTTGAATAAACTACTAAATTAGTAATCATTACTTATAAATAAGAAAATTTTTTAGGCCCGCCCCGGATTTTTAAAAAATATATTATATTTATTTTGAATTTTATAGCTAATAATGGCGATTTCAAATATTTGGTTTTAAAATATACGACCTGGCCCGGATATTTTTTTTTAAAAAAATTTCTGTCCCTGCCTGAGTACATTAAAAAAAAATTAAAATACGTCCCAATCTATGTACCCGGGCCGGGCTTAGGGCCGGGCCTGCATATTATATAATATAATATAATATATGATGTGTATTGGACATTTTTTGGTAAAGATTATATTCTTCTTCTCCGTTTTATGGCTATTTCCAGGTTTACCCGTGTAGGCCAGTTTCCCTCTGATTTTTCTTTTCCATTTTTGACGGTCCTGAGCATCAATATTTGTAAGATTCATGCTTCTCATATGCGCCGCTATCACATTTGTCCACGTCATCTTGGGTCTTCCTCTAGGTCTTGATCCTCCTACTTCCATCAAGGTGCATCTCTTTACCCAGTCATCTTTTGTCATACGTTCCACATGCCCAAACCATCTTAGTCTAATACATCGCATTAACTCTAATCATTTCTATACCTAATCTTTCTCGCAATTCCTTGCTAGTTTTTCTCTCTCTCAGAGATACCCCACACATCCATCTAATCATCGTCATCTCTGTTCTTTCTAATTTGGCTTCGTGAGTCGCTTTAATTGCCCATATTTCGCCATAAACTAAACAACTCCTCACACAGCTAACGTAAACTTTCCCCTTTAACTTCAGAGAGACTTTTTTATTTGTAAAAATAGACGACATTTCTCTGAACTTCTTCCAAGCTTGTCTGACCCTTGCAACAACGGCAGAATCCACACAACCATCTGCGTTTAGCATATCACCCAAATAACAAAACTTATCCACTTTTTCTAGGGTTAACCTATTATCAATATCCAGATCACCTTCTACGTTATCATTATTATGTATCCCTTTCATGCATGTTCTACACTACAAATAAAGGTCATTCTTGCTAACATCAAACTTCCTTTTTTCCCGCTACATCTATTATATACCCATTTCTGGCATCTGGTGCATTGGATTGAATTTCTAGAAACTCCTTTCCCACATACACCACAAGGCCACTTGCCGGATTCCTCCATCTTTATATATTCCCCACCAATTATCTCCTTTGTCTTTGATGCATTCATTTTCAGGCCTTTTGTTTCCATAGTCATCTTCCATTTATTAATTTTATCCTTCAATGCCTCCTCACTGTTTGCCATTAATACAAGGTCATCTGCATATAATAGCTCCCAGGGAAGTCCTTCACGCATTTCTCTAGCCACCACATCCATTACTAAGATAAATAATCGGCTCAGCACGGATCCTTGATGAAGTCCTATCTTCACCTCAAAGCTTTCACTATCACCATTATCCATCGGTCCTGCTGTTTGTACTCCCACATACATTGCCATCAGTCCCATAACCAACCATTCTTCCACAATAGATTTTCTCAAGGCCCATCTAGTAACCTCGCGGCACCATGTAAAATGCCTTCTCCAAATCAACAAACGCATAATACAGTTTCTTTTCCTTCGGAAGTTACTTTTCCTGTATTTGTCTCACCACAAAAATATCTGTCGTGCTTTTTCCCGATGTAAAACCAAACTGCATTTTATCAATTTTAGTTTGTTCCCGTATCCGCTTCACTAACACCCTCTCAAATACCTTCTTTGCATTTCCCAAGAGTTTAATAGCTCTGTAAAACCCGCAATCTAAAGGATCACCTTTCCCCTTGTATATTGGGATAATTAAACTTCTGCTAGTCCTTGAGAATAGCTTCTTCTGCGACAATTTGATTGGCTAAATTCATTAACCATTCAATCCCCAAGTCATCAAAACCTTTAAACATCTCTGATACCACCCTTGTTAAACCCGATGCCTTCTCCTTTTTCATCTTTTTCACTGCTCTCCTTATTTCGTCTTTGCCAAATTTACACTCTGGATCTTCAACCTTTGCACAACTAACATTATTATCCCATTCATTTTCTTCGTTTAAAAATCATTCCATGTAGATCTTCCAAGTATTCCTAATACCACTACTATCAATCACCATTTTCCTTACATATTTTTCAAATATTTAACACCTACCATATTCTGCCTCTTTTTTGCCAACTGCTTTGCCATTCTAACCCCATTTCTCATTCTTTCAGAGCATTTCATTTCTTTAGCAAACTCCTGCCTTTTTTCTTCTAGCGCCTTTGCTATTAATTTCTTAGCATTTCTTTTCGCCATCTTGTAGATATCGTTATCACTATTTTCTTTACTATTATACCATTCTTTGAAGCACCTCCGTTTCTTATCCACAGCTTTTTCTACCTCCGAGTTCTCCCACCAACTCTCCTTATGTTTAGGCGGCCCTTTTGTCCATCTGCAAACCTCCTCAGTTGTCATTACCGAAGCTTTCTTCATGGCTTCCCACTTGTCATTTACCCCAGATATTTGTGCCACCTCGGCCTCCCTTATTGCCAATGTCATATTGAATTGACGTCTAGCACTCTCCTCCTTCAATTTCCAAACCTTCAGCCTTGGCACAAACTTTCTTTTAGATTTCACATTTTTTACTATACATCTATCACATCTCCTTAAAACAAATAATCCACTGCACTTTTGGTACTACCCGACTTATAAGTCACCAGCTTCTCTGATTCTTTCTTAAACATTGTATTACAGACAATCATATCCATAGCATCACTAAAATCTAAAATTCTCTCCCCTTCCAGATTTCTCATGCCGTAACGGAACCCTCCAAGTACTCATTCATAACCCTCACTACTCGCTCCAACATGTCCATTAAGATCACCATCTAGGATAATCCCCTCTTTGCCTGTCTCGATGTCACCCCCAATAGACTGTCCCAAAATATATTTTCTCTTCTTCACTTCTTCCAACCTGAGGAACATATGCCGAGATAATATTATATAGCTTTCTACCAAAAATCATCTTGATAACCATTATCTGGTTATCTAGCCTTCTCATTTCGACTACTTTGTCTACCAATTACTCCGCAATTAATACCCCAACTACCATCATTACTTCCTTGCCAAAAGAATTTATACTTTTCACTAGTTTTGCCAATTATTCTTGTGCCATTTTCTTCCATCTGGTCTCCTGTATGCAGCACATATCTATATGCCTTCATGCAATACATCGACTTCTCCCGCTCTTTCCGTCATACTCCCAACATTCCTTGTCGCGACCCTTACTCGATCCCCGTAAACTGGTTATATTTTTTATCTGTTTGGCAGGTGTATCAAAATATTGAAATAAAAAGTTTTGAAGAATAAATTATATTTTCATCTGCAGCAATAGTTAGTAAAGACACACAAGAAAGGAACTTTTGCATGCTGAGAAATTGTATTAAATCAAATATCGATTTAAATAATATCGATTACGTTCAACATTCACCAAAATTGTCGATATTTCTGTAATCTCGATTTTTATTATGCCATATTGTATTTAAATGACTTATAAGGGTTATATCTTTTAACAGATATACCATATTTTTCTAGGAATTTTGTTGTTTTTTCATTTAAATTTATGGTGAATGAATTTTTTTTTAAAGATTTGGGGGGTCAGAAATATTTTTGGAAGTCAAAAAAATTTAGAGGGGTCTAAATCTTCCCCCCCTTTGGTCATGGCTTTGGCTCTTTTAAAAGGATTTAAGCCAAAAATTTCATATAGATTTTTAATAATGAAAGCATAAGCCCCTGTATATTTGATATAGTATTAACTAATACTATTTTTGCTATAATTTTTTTTTGATATAGTATTAACTAATACTATTTTTGCTATAATTTTTTTTATTAAATTAAAAAACAAGAGGATGATAATTTCTATTTTCCACGAAAACTAGAGCTGTCCGATATATAGGAAGCCGATCGGCACCGATATTGATCATTTTCGAGAAAAATCTTATGTTTATTCGGAATCCAATTGAATTATTATTCATCGACGTTTTAATTATTTTTGTTATATAAAGGATGATTTTTTTGTTTGATGTTTGAAAGATTTTTTTAATAATTTTTCTTTATGAGGGTAATGTAGACTACTACATACAATATTGGAATTATTGCCTCTGTAGGCCAAATTGCATATCTATTCATTCGGTTCCTTGTATATCGCGAAACTAATACTGTGAATTTTTTTATAGCGAAACCATTAAAACAAATATATTATAGCGAAACTTTTATGGCGAATCAATAATCGCGAAAATTTTATAACGAAGTCATTATAGTAAAACCAAAATCGCGAAGACAATATAGCGAAAATTACGCGAAACATGAATCGCGAAAATATTATAGCGAATTTAATATCTCAAGGTTAATATTGCTATAATTACCAATAGTGACTATTTTATTTTGAAATATTTATTTTTATGATCTTATTAATTGAATAATATTTTAGAAAAAATATGTACAAGATTGTTTCAATGATAGAGTTTTTAATTTTATTTTAGCCTGGTTTATAAAATTTATCATTGGAATAAAAAAAATTTAAAGACATATTTTATAAAATTCGTGCACAAGGAACCTAGGCTTTATTAATATATTAATAATTGAGAGCATTAGTTAAATCCTTATTGGAGAAATTGATATCTGGGTTGCGCCAATATATATAGTCTTAGGTACTTAATATTTATGAAATTCATCAATCAGTTTTGCCAGCCAATAACCAAAAACAGAGTTATAGGCTATTGGATTGTCTTTATCGAATTTTGAATGGCGATTTAAAAATAAATTATATCCAAGTATAAGGGATTTCAATATTTTCAATCTTATGATTTCAGATCTTTATAGATATTTTTTATCTCTTCTGTTTACTTAGATATAAAATATTAGTTCAAAAAATTTGATAGGAACTTGAATTTAATATTAAGATATAGCCTTAAACATGAAGTTTGCCAAACTTTAGCGAGCACTGATTCTGAAGCTTAAGCCAATAGATAAATTACGATACATATAAATTAGTGTTACTATATATATTATTTTTTTCCCTTAATTACTAAGAATCAAAACTACTATAATTAATTTACACTGAATTCCCTAAGGATGATTTTGCTAATTAAAAATTCTCAGAATTTAATTTCTTAGAAAATATAATATATCACTCATAAATTTTTATAATTTCTTTTATTTTTAAAGTGCATAGGCATATTTTTTGAGTTTTAAAATTAATCATTATTCTATGTAAATTTAAAAAATAACTTAAAATCTTATATGATTTTTAAAAATAATCTGAGATCAGCAAAAAATCTTAGTTTTCAGTATTATTTAATCATGATTGAAATATTTTTTAAGCATTTTAGAATATTTGCTAAAAATGGCATAAAGCACATTTTTAAAATTTATGTGGGGAAGGGGGGGGGGTCAATTTATTGAGGTATTTGAATCAAAATGTCACCTCCGTAATTACCACCATGGGTGAGAGAGACCAGAAATAAATTGGCTAATTTATAGTAACAAAATATCCTTAAAACATTTCGCGTTTATGATATAAGGAACTTTGGTGGGTAAATTGATGAATATGTTGTTTTCCTTTAAATAAATGACTTCGTAATATATTTACTGTTTCGCAGCAATACGCTCGCGATTATGACTTCGCACCAATACATCGTCATAGAAATATCGCTATAAAGGATTCGCGATTAAATTTCCGCTAATATCTATTCGCGGTTATAGTTTAACAGATTTAGATTCGCGATAATAGGTTCGCGACAAAGTTTCGCGATAAAAGTTTAGTTGAATTGACCCGATACGATTCATTCTGCGTTAAGATAGTTTACTACATTTTAAAAATAAAATTCATAGACTTAAAAGTAAAGTATAAATGTCAACAAGCATTTTTTTAATTAAAGGATCTGATACTGGCATGGGATCCGTTTAAATATTTTTAATCGGATTGAATCGATAAAAAAAATGTGAATTGGACAACCCTAATTTAAACCTACTTATGTCTCTAAAACAATCGCCTCTATAAACAGACATCGAGTGAACTTCCCGATTAGTTCTATTGTGGTTAGAGTAAAAATATCTTCATGATTTAGAAATTTTTCTTTATATAAAGCTAGAAATGAAAAGCAATTTTCCATTTGATCAAAAACCATTAATATTTTTAGCTAAATAAATTAGAAAAATGGAAATATAGGTGAGTATATTACGCGTTTTTATTCATCCTAGAACCTGGTTCGATATTAAATACCGCAACAGAAGTCGAAACTCGGTATTCGACACCAAAAATGGCTGAACTCGTTTCGAAAGAATCCTTATATGTCTCATAAGTGGGCATATCCGGAAGGCACAGATAATTTCCGCCACTGCCAGTATAGTGGTAATGTCCGCTAGCCATTTGACCTATTTTTTGTTTATGTTTTTTTTATTGAAGTCAGATTTTAAAACTTCCTTTCTTTAAAAGAAGCGAAACAAAAGTTTAGCTTTCTTAGTGAAAGTGATTATGCAATTAATATGTATAAAATGGTTCAAACTCCTTCCTCGCACTCTACTTCTATTTTTTGAGGGATTAAAAAATAAAAAATATTTTTAGAGAGGCTAGTCACAATATAACATAGATTACTATTAGAGGTCTTCAATGGATGAGATTTAGCCGGCCAGTCATTGCTATATATTCTAGCCCGTATTTAATATTTACCCCCCCCCCTATCCATTGTTTAAAAAGTGAACGATTGAAAAACCTGCCTATTGCAAATCTCTGGCTCATATCAGTAAACTTAGATTACAAATTAAACTGAATTTCTGCAGTGATCTGACTATTTAGATCTTAATATCGCTTCCGTTTGCTATATATATATTAAGATATAAAATTTTGTTAAAATATATTACTATACCGAAATAAATTTGACGTGAATTTGAAAGACAAGTCAAAGAGCCCCATCTAACATACCCTGTTCCTTTTTTTGTAAGATGTTAAAAAATAAATATTATTTGTTTTATCAATAGGTCTATTTCAATTTGGCAGGTTTGCTGAGATTTATAAAAATAATGGTCAAATTAAAAAGAGATATTTTAAATATTTATAAATAATAATTTAAACTCTATATGTAACATAGATCAAGTCTAAATGAATAAATAAAGTAAGAATTTATTTATATTAGTTTTAACTCCAACTTGATCGAAACCATAAATTTTCCTGCCATAAAGACATGTCTAATTCAAGAGAAATAAGAGATTTTTTTACACAATGTAAGCGTATTATAACTTAAGAACGGATTTTTTATATAAATAATGAACCCGTGGAATGTTGATCACCCCCGTTGCATTGGTCACAAGTTCCAGAATCTCCTTTATCGCCTTTAAATCCAGTAGGCCCAGTCTGCCCTGGCGAGCCAGTTTCTCCAGGTCGACCATTTTGCCCCGGATTCCCATCTTTACCTGAACCTTTATAATTAAATTATTAACTGATCAATATATAAATTAAAATTACTCAAAGATTCATGATAAAGTTGTCTGAAATTTTTAGGATAGGTATTCTACACACAAGGGGAATACGTTTATGGCTAAATCAGAAAAACGTTTTGAACAAATAATTTGAATCTTCCAACTTTATATCATTTCCTTAGCCCCGTTTTTTAAATAATAATATTCTATTCCTGAAATATATATCCGCATGTGTACAGACGAAATATATATTCTTCTTCAATTTTAGACAACTTTATAAGATATTACACATATTGATATTACGTGAATCGATTGTAATATCTATAATATATATATAAGCCGTGTCACAGACACAATGTCACAATTTATAATATATTTTTAAAAAATCGTGAATTTTGAAAAGCGTCTGTGGCCTAATCGGCAAGAGCTTCGCTTACAAATCTGATGGCTTTGGGTTTGAATCCCAGTAAAGATAGATTTTTTTTTTCTTAATCCAACTTGATATTTTTTATTTCTTAATCTAACTTGGTGGTTTCGTCCTTGAGATAATTTTTTGGCCCAACCCGGGTATAATTAAAATATGGCCTAACCACCATTTTCTTATAATTAGGATCATCTTGAAGAATGGATCCATATCATGAGAAGTGCAAACATATTCAAAACTCTGTGGATAACAATTTACCAAGAAGTGCTTTGAGGCTTTCATTGTAAATAAAAAAAAACCTTAAGGAAGGATCCATTCCCACTATTTAATAAATATATGCATTTTATATACTAGCTGATATGCCACAAAAATGACAAAGAATTAGTATTCTCCTTAATTTGATGGTGGATAAATTGAAATAAGCCTATATAATGTAAAAATAAACGAGAATGTGTGCTCCCTGCTGGATCCTTTCGTCAGAATTTATGACATGTGGGCGGAATAAAGAAGTTTTAATCTTACAGTATGTCTCTAGGAATTTTGAATAAACAGAAAATTTGGGATAAAAACAATTTATGAAATGTTCACTAAATTTGTTATTGAAAACATTTTTAAAGTCTACTTTATAATAGCCTTGTCAGGAGGAGGATTTTGGATATGGCATGTGAAGGTATTTTGCCTTATCTCTTGTTGTGATTGCATTATTTTGATTTGAACTTATTTAAAATCTTGTGTATATAAATTTGAATATTTACGGAAAATAGTTTTTTTTTAAATTTGAATATGTAAATTTTAAATTTTTTTTACTTTCACTTAATTTTGCGCATATAATTTTTAGTATTTTAGTATTTTAGTATTTTATACTTTTACTTTTTTATTTTTTATTTTTTTGATTATGTTTTCCCTTTATATTAATTTATAATTATTTTTGGTATTAGTATTTAATAAAGGATTCAAAACTATAATTTTAGTATATATTTTTGTTTTATTTTTTTAGGTTCCAACGTTTCTCAATATGACAAAAGTTCCATATGTAACAATTCCCTTAACACCAAATCCTAATTGATTATACATAATAAGTTAAGACCCGACCAAAATTTTCACCCATGGCAATTATTTTTGTAATAATCTTTTAAATAGCCCATTGCGATAGGGTATATACCACCAGAGTGTTTGTGAGATAATCAGGTTTGCCCCCAAAATTGATTCGAATCTATGATTGCAGGTCTTTTTTAAAAGAGTATTTAAGAAGGTTCTAAAGCATTTAAATGATTCTGGTGAATGTGGATTTTATATGAAGTGGGAGGGCAAAAACAAATGTGTCTGAATGTGGAAATTTGTTAAAAGAATTGATAAATATCATAACTCACAAATCATTTTTTATTTCATATTTTTCATAATATATTTGGACTTTTCTCTAAATATTTATTGTAATCTTGGAAGAATGAATACAGATAATCTATTCCTCTCATTTGACTATTCTGATTCATCCATCGTCAAATGTAAGTAAAATTTATTACTTATCCATAAAGAGAAAATTCTGATTCCATGTCATTCTTGACGGATTATCAAGTAATATTATAATAAGTTCTTATAATGTGGCCATTCCAAACGTAGTTTGATTTATAAATATGATTGCTATATTGATCAATCTCTTATTGAACCAAAAATGAGTAAACGAGAAAAGGAAAGTAAAGCTAAAGATAGAAAGAGAAAATAAAAGAAAGAGAAAAATATAAAAAGGATGAGAAAGAAAACTATAAAAATGCTAATAGTTCTTTTTACTTAAAACTTTTTATTGGAAAACAATTCCTTTCTCTAAATTATAATATTAAAAATCTTATCTGGTAAGGTAAATTTAAAAATTAATAGATTGGTCTCATATTAATAGAGATTTGACTAAGGCATCTAATATAATGTTTTACATTGTTCGTTAAATATTATGAAACCTGGAATGCCAGGTTGGCCTGATTCTCCCTTCAACCCAGGCAGTCCATTTAGCCCCGGTTTTCCATTATACCCATCGGATCCTTTAGGTCCTGCTGGTCCACTTTGTCCGGGTGGGCCTTGAACTCCTGGACTTCCAGCTGGACCGCTCTGTCCAGACGCCCCTCTATCACCTTTGTCTCCTATTTTTTTATTGTTGTAGTAAAAGAAAGATAGTTGCTAGTAAAAGTTTTAAATTGAGTCAAATTTATACGCTTTTTCTTAGCTTGAAAACGACTCAGAATTGTAATAGATGACTTTTACTTAATATTTTAAGGTATTTTTTTAAGGTGACAAAGATAGATATATCTAAAATTATACTTGATATCAAACGAATCTAATAATTTAAACGTAGTTTTAATCTTTACATATATATATATATCTATCTCTACGTTAGAAATTAATATTTAAGAATAAAATCTTACATTATTTAATAAATAATTTTAAAAGACGAAAATAAAATAATTAGGGGGAATACCGGGATGCCCTTTAGCCTTTCGCAGTACATGGTTATGGGGTCTCTTTATTTTCAGATTTTATTTAAAAAAATTATAGAAAAATAATAATCCTATGTAAATAAATAAATTGCATTGTCAGATATGTTAAATCAAATGCACCAGGTTTATTATGTTTTGAATTTATTTTGTTATTTTGTATACTTTGTAAAATGTTTATTTTCATTATTATATGAATTTGAATAGAAAAAGAAAATGCATTTTGATAATATAATTGTAGAGAGATATAATGTTTATCTATATAATCAACAAAATGAGGGAAACTTAATAAATCTTCGAAAATTAGCAACGACTTGTGAATTTGTAGAATATCTAAATAATGCACTAAGAGTTAAATTTATATTCGGAATAAAAAATCCTAAAAATTTGCAAAGATTATTATCTGAGGATTATATAGACATAAATAAGGCTATTCAAATAGCTACTGCAGTAGAAACAGCTATAAAAAATACAAATGATGACATAAAATCGATCAGTTAGAATAGGAACATAATGATGATATATATATATAATTAAAAAGGTTAATAATGATAAACAATAAGAATCATATAATAACTATAATACGAGCTACAAAAAACGAAATCCCTGCCACTCGAAGAAAACCATAGAAGGGAAAATTGTCTTATCAAGAATGTCACTTGTTATAAATGCAATAAAATTCGGCACATTGCTCAAGTCTGTAAAAAAGAAATTGTGAAGTTTATTAATAATACAACAAATGAATATAATCCAAATTTTTGGGTGGATATCAAAACAAACAACAGCGATATCAGAATAGAATTAGATACTGGAGCTGGGATGGTAAGCATAATAAACGAAATAGATTGGAAAATTAAACTTAATCGTCCTAGATTAACAAATTGCATGCTAAAACCTAAAATCTAAACAGGGCCAATATACCACTATTAGGTCAGACTGTAGTAAAAGTACAATATAAAGGAAGAACATTAGAACTACCTCTCATAATTACAAAAGGATATATAAAAAAATCTAATTGGGAGAAAATAACTAAATTTTCAAAAATGACTGAAATACCTGAAAGGGCCATAAAAATATATAACATTAATATACAAAATAAATTTCCTCAATTATTTACCAAAGAATTTGGCTGTTTGAAAGATTTTAGGGCACAAATATATGTATAGAAACCAATTTTCTGTAAATCATATCCCGTATTATACGCATTAAAAGAAAATGTTAGAGAAGATATGGACTAATTGCTAAAAAATAGGAGTAATAGAAAATTAATCATTCACTTTATACATCACCTATAGTAATTGTTCAAACGAAAGATAAAACATTACGAATTTACGGGGATAATATAAATATTGATTCATACCCAAATACCAAGAATCCAAGATTTATTTTCAATATTGGATCTCTCAGATGCCTATTTTGAAATTAAAGTGGGGGGAAAGAGTCTCAAAAATATCTTGTGTTGTGATATTTGAATTAGTTAAGGAAAAATGATAAAAAAAGATTTATTCAGATTAGATAAAGTTCAAGATTATTTAAGTTTGTTGTTTAAACACTATGTAAATGCTTGTTTGTTATGAAAAAAGAAAAGATATTGGGTTTATATAAATTTTTGAATAAGGATTTAAAATTGATTATAATCAGACGGAATTTATTATGTTATAATCGGATGATGTTAATTTTATATAAAAGACACAATTTTTATAATTTAATAGACCTTTAATTTTTTTGACTTTTATTATTTTTGACTTTTATTATTTTTGACTTTTATTATTTTTGACTTTTATTATTTTTGACTTTTATTTTTTTTTTTACTTTCACTTAATTTTTCGCATATAATTTTTAGTATTTTATACTTTTACTTTTTTCTTTTTTTTGGTTATGTTTTCCCTTTATATTGATTTATATAATTTATAATTAATTTTTGGTATTGGTATTTAATAAAGGATTCAAAACTATAATTTTAGTATATATTTTTATTTCTATTTTATATTTAGGTTCTAATCTCCCAATTCAAAAACACCCTGACAGTGATGCTGGAGATAGGATTTGTTAGACAAATAAAACCAGGTTCTCCTATTCAGTTTAATGCAAATAAATATATACAGTGGGACAAGGAGACGTGTATTCTAATACAAAAAAATCCAGAAGAACGTAAGAAAAATATGTAAATAAAAGTAGGAAAAATATTTAGAGAAGTACTCTAAAAAGAAGAAAATTTATCTTTTAAAATAAAAATTGGATAAAAAAGAGATTTAGATTTATTTTTAAAGATGTAGGTTGAAAAAGAAAAATTATTTTACGATAACAATTTTGGTAAATATGGATAAGATTATGTTAAAAAATTATGTAGGAATTTAATATCTAAAATTAAAAACAAAGAATTATAAAGGTAACATTCATAGTAGATAATATATTTGTTTTAGTTATTTAAAGGTGATGATTAGGAATTTTATATTTAGAAGTTAATGGTAAAAACCAATTGAATTTTGAAACTAATTGAGACAGATATTTTATATTTTAGAATTATTATTGTTGCATGTGCGCATGTGCGCGATTGTACGCTATTATTTTATTCTTATATTTAAAATGTTAGTTATATTTAAATAATTATATTTAAATGTTTAGTTATATATCTTAAGGCAACAGAATATATATATAAATATATATATATTTTTATTTTAACGAACTTATATTTTTTTTTGCTTGTATAAAAATAACTAGTAATTCCTTTTTTGTAAATTATATAAATAAAAGATATATTTAATTATTCTAATTTGAACTTTTCCACCATTGCTCAATAATATATTCAAAATTATTCTAAATCAAGATTATTCTAAATTGAACTTTTCTCCCAGTTCAATATGGTGGAGGATAGTAATGATGTAAACATCACGCGTATTTTGGAGTTGTTCAATACAAAACCGGACACACTTGAGTCTTCCAGAGAATATTTCGATAGACTGAAAGGGTGTGGTTCGGGGCTCAATCCAGAATTTTTGTCGGTGCTTTTTATGTTGAATTGTCGTAATGAAAAGCTAAAAACAAGGTTGATTGAAGAAAATACTACAGAGATTAATATTATAGAGGACATTGTGGTCAAATTTCAATCGTTCGAGTTCAATAATAATAAAACATATGTAGAGAAAGATTCTTGAAGAAGAGAGGATAGTACCGATTGGCAAGGCGATTCGTCTTGGAAAGAGAACAAGCAGACTAAGGCCAACACCAACAACAACAATAACAACAACAACAGCAGCAACAACAACAACAACAGCAGCAACAACAACAACAGCAATTACAACAATTTCAAAAAGACGGAGATGATACAAACCCCTTATAATTTAAGGCCAAGAAATAAAATTAATTTTATTAATGATATTATGATTGACCTTCAAGTTAATAATTGTGATTTTTCTTTTATGATAGATACTGGTTCTCCGGTGTCATTCTTGCCCATGAAAGAGTTTGAAAAGCTTACGAAGGATGAAGTTGTGAATACTAAAGAGATAATAGATAGGGTTGATTTTTTAACTTTTTATAATCCGTTATCTTTTCGAATAGGAATCGGTTGATTGTTCAATGACAATGACTTTGATTATAACCTTAAATTTAAAATAATGACAATAATTTTATTTACTACCTTTATTTTAAAAGAATTATTTTGAGAATTAATTTTACGTAACTCCGTTTTTGTCTAAGTGAGCATCAATCAATTATGGCGTGGGGATTTTGTCACTGAGAGGATCAGTAATGTCATTTGAAATTCAAATTTTCTAAGGTCAAAATTATTCATTTAGATTATAATGGTTCTTTAATTATAATTGTTTTCTGATAATGCGCTTTTCTTATATTTTTTTTATCACCATCTCCAAATTTTATCATATATTTTAATGATTGTTTTTTTTTTGAATAAATAATTTTCTTCATTATATTAATTTTATTCCAAATATATTTATTGTTTATCGGCCACCTATAGTGTGAATTGTACCTATCGATAGTGTAATTTATACCTTTTGTAAGGGTAATTACATAAAAAACTATCATGTACAACTATGGTGCCAATTTTAAATAATTTTCTTCATTATATCAATTTTTATTCCAAATATATTTATTGTTTATTGGCCACCTATAGTGTGAAATGTACCTATCGATAGTGTAATTTATACCTTTTTTAAGGGTAATTACATAAAAAACTATAATGTACAACTATGGTGCCAATTCCCCTTTATACATATATTTTCATTCTTAAAAATAAATTACCTCTCGCATGCTAAACGAGTTCTTTCTTTCCCCATTTTTTTGTACCATGTTGTGTTTTCAAAACTTTAATTTTTTTTTGTATATTATTTTTGGAGGGAGTGCATGTTGCATGTGCGCGATTGTATGCTATTATTTTATTACTTATATTTAAAATGTCAGTTATATTTAAATAATTATATTTAAATGTTTAGTTATATATCTTAAGGCAACAGAATATATATATAAATATATATATTTTTATTTTAACGAACTTATATTTTTTTTTGCTTGTATAAAAATAACTAGTAATTCCTTTTTTGTAAATTATATAAATAAAAGATTAATTTGAACTTTTCCACTATTGCTCAATAATACATTCAAAATTATTCTAAATCAAAATTATTCTAAAT